CCCCTCCCCACGGAGCCCTGCACCCCGAGAAGGCAGGCAGGGAGGGCCGCAGCTATGTACAGGGGCAGTGACAGCAAAGGGCTGTGCTGGGTGTGTACAAAATATACAAGGGTCCTTCATCTGCTGCTTTTTAACCCCAAAACCTTCCCCCCGCCCCCACGTAAAAACACGCCGCCAAGCCCTCTCCCCCCACCGCCAGGAAACATGCACGTCTTTTCGGGGGGAAATAAAAGGCGAAACCAGTGCCACGCTGCGTCTCCGGGGCGGCGAGCGCGGGCCGGCCCCGCTGGGGATGGTGGGGGGGGAGAGGTTGTGCGCGGTGGGGTCTGGGGTCCGGCGGCTGGGGCAGGGAGGTTCCGACCCCGCTCACGAGAGGTTCTGCTCGTCCTCCAGGTGAAGACGCGTCTGCTCGAAGAGAAGGGGCTGCGTGGGGCTGCCGGTGCCTCGGCCGGGGAGCGTCTTGGTGAAGTCGGATGAGCCTGAGTGAGGAGGAGAAGGGAGGGTTCAGCCCCAACAGCGCCAACCCTGGGGTCAGACCAAGAGCCCGGGAAGGGTGCTCCAGCGTGGGCCAAGGAGACCGGCACCCCCGGCACCCCCTCCTACTGACCGCTGGAGCCCACGAGCTCCGTCCCCTCTGCCCCTGCTCTATCTGCCACCAGCCAGCACGGCCCTGGATGTTCCTGGTTCCCACCAGGCGGCAGAGCCCTCGCCCAGGAGAAGCTGGTGGGGAGGGCCAGGGTTTCTGCTGCCCTGCCTGGGGTCCTGGCACTCGGGGACAGCGGGGACCCCTGCGGGGTACGGGGATGCCAGTGCCAGGAATGGGATTGGAGCTGGGACAGAGCCAGCAGTGCAGGCTGCTTGGTTTGCTGCCCCCTCCTTCCCTGCCCCGATGGCCAGGATCGGTCCCATCCCCACTCTCGCCTGGCTGCCGGCCTTCCCAGGAGGGCTCCTTGCTGCCCCACACAACAGTGATGCATAAGAAGAACGAGAAGACGTACCAGCTTACTCCTCTATACCAATAGAGCAGGAATCGGGACCCAGTGCTGCCCAAGACAGGAGGGAGGAAGGCAGACAGAGAGGGAAGGAGACATTAGAGAGGTACTCAGAACAGACTGCGACTCTACGGAAGAAAACAGGCTGCAACGACAACAGTCAGGGGTGAGGACAGTGCAGCGTCCCACGGCCGCGCTTGCCAGCGAAGCACGGCACCCCGCGGCCCTCCCCGCCGCGACAGAAGGGTGCCCGCTGCCCCCCGCGCCAGCTCGGCCTCCCAGAAGGTTCCCCTCCCTCGGCTGAAAGCAGGAGCGCGGTTTGGGAGGCCAACTGTCACAGAAACTGTGCCATCGAGCGGCCACAGCCCGGAGAGGAGAAAGGAGGGGAAGGACAGAGACAAAAGGGTGAGGGAGGAGGAGAGAGAAGGGGAGGGCAAGTTACCTCTGCGTTAGCCCCCCTCGCCCACAGCTTGCAACGGCCACTGGGAGGAAGCGGGAGCCCGTGCTCCGGGCTGGTGCGTTCCCGTCCCATCCCAAGGCTGGGGAGGCTGCCCGTGGTCAGGCACGCAGTCCACAACCCCCCCCCCCCCCCCGCCCCCCCGCGCCACCCCCCAGGCGC